GGGGCCGCCGCGCCTCTTATGTCGGGGAAGGGGCTGCGGGGTGGTGGCGGGGGTTCGCCCTGGATGGCGGAAAGCGGGCGGCGCTGGTTTTTTTCTTAGTTAAACTGTTTGCTCTGTGTTGGTTGGAGGCTTTGTGCCGACACTTCTTTGCCGTTTTTCATGCCCAATTTCTTTGTGTGGGATCTGAGAAAAAAAAAAGAGCAAGTCCGGTGGGTGTCTCTTCCCAATTTGTTCGAATTGGGCGTGGGACTTTGCCTCTCATATATTTCTTTGCTTCTTATGACGCGGAAGGGCAAAAAAGAACGAGAAAGNAAAAAAAAAATTGCGCTAGCTGCAAAATGCAAAGATTGCACGAATGGCTAGGGTCGTGGTGTTTAATCTAGTGGAGGAAAATAATGCAGTACTCTCGTTGTGGCTCACTCTTCAGAAATGGGCCTGTGTTATGTGGTCGTCACTTTTTGTTTCGTCTCATGTATATTTTTTTTTTGATGCGAAAGGAGGTGACGGTTTCGATTTATTTATTTATTCTCAGTTGCGCTGAAATCAAGCGTTTGGTTTTTAAAGAAATGCGATTGGGTTTGATTGCCACGTATTGTTTTTTGACGTTGTCATATGCTTGGACTCAAGGCTTCTGGTTTTTAGTTAGGTAGACATTAGAGATTTTTTCACGGAGTCCAAGTTTATCATGATTATTGCTTCGTCCTTTGTTGCGTATCAACGCGTTAATGTTGCAGAGGATCGTATCACGCCTCAGATGAAGCCAGTTATTGACAAGATGCTGGAGCGACTTCCTCGCCACGATACCAAGGTGAGTTACCAATATGAGGCGAATGTGTACCATTTTCTGGTCGAAAACGAAGTGGTGTATTGCTGTGTTTCAAGTAGCGAGTATCAAAACCGCACGGTATTCGGGTTTTTGATGCAGGTCCGAGATGCGTTCAAAAGTCAGTTTGCTGGGAGCGTCAATCGATACCCTCGGTCCTCCGATATAACGCCTTCTGTGTGTCGTACATTCTGCAGAACTCTTGCTTCTACGGCACGGACCTTTAATGAGAATCCACATGCCGACAAGATCGGAAAAATAAGTGAACAACTTGATAATACAAAACAAATTATGTTAGAAAATCTTGACCGATTGATAGATCGTGGTGAGCGAATTGAAAGCTTATGTGATAAAACGGAGCAGCTGCGTGATGAGGCTCAGGGCTTCCATTCCAATGCCCGTACACTGAAGCGAAAAATGCTCTTGAGGAATATCAAGCTTGCTATTGGGTTAATTCTTGTGCTGGGCCTCGTCGGCCTTATTATCGCGTTTATGATTTGCGGTGTGAACTTCAAGAAGTGCAAAAAGTAGTATGTTTTCGTTCGTGCTCCTGTTTTTTTTGTGGACCTTCTCAGGGTATGCTTTTAGTTGTTAAGGTGTGTAAATGTGTCTGAAAGTTTTTTTATTGATCTATCAGTAGTTGAATTGTTGTTGTTATTTTTTTTTCCTCGTTTAATTGGGTTGTGTGGGTGATATTAAGGATTCTTGCGCTTACACATGGTAGACCTCACACTAGACCCTACAAAATGGGCTGATGCCGTTGAATCCTCTCCCGAGTGCCTGCTCTCCGCAGGGTCAGCAAGGAATGTCGAAACCGTGCTGTCAAAGGCAATGACACGGCGGCATCAGAAAATGTTGCTTAAGGCCGTGGAGCCCTTTGTAGGAAAGATGATTGAGGATGCCGCCGGAATTTCAATCTTGACTTCTCTTGTGAAGTATGGTACAGTCGAGACTGTTAACGCCATCGCAAAGATAGTTCTGCGTTGCTGTGATAAGATCCTTAAGGGACAGGCCACACCGACCGAGACGTGTGAGTTCCCTCTTGGAACTCTCCTGGAGCGCGTCGTTTACCGTGAGGATTGCAGCGGTGAGGAGAGGTTGAGCTTCATAACCGCTTTGAAATCACTGAAGCACCCGCTTCTAATGGGAAGGCCGGTTTTCTTGTTGGCCACAGCTCGACTTATTATTATTGACATGGAATTTGCCGTATCGATCTGTTCTAGTCCCAAGGCACAAGAAGCGTTCCTTCAGATCTCATCGTCACCTTCGAAAAAAGGCTTTGTGACGAGTTTCTGTGAGGTTATACTATCTGGTGATGCGCTGAAAAACAGTGAGCTGAGGGATTTATGTTCCTCCTTTGTATTCACTTCTATTTCAAGTCTGTATGCACCGAATGTGGCGTCGCGTCCACACAAACAGATTTCAATGCTTTTGGCTTCATGTGGAAGCGCTGTCGTTACCCAGGACATGGTGAAACGTATTTCGGTCTGGCCTGATATTCGCGCTCGTGCAAAGAACGAAGACTACGCTAAAATAATAGCTCTTCTTTTAACGCAGCTGCAGGATGCCAGTGATGGTGCCACCTTGGTTACGGTGATATTTCAATCAAAGGAAGATTTTGATGAAATCGCGGCCTCCCGGAAGACTTCACACCTGCAGCTGCTCGCTGCCATTGCCGAGAATCCGGCGTACGTGAAAGCGTTGACTAAGGCGCTGGGCGAGTCCCGGGAAAAGGCGCTTGTTGCCGCAGCTGTGCGGTACAGAAATGCCACTATGCCAAGAGCTCTTGCAACGAAGGAGAGTCTTCTTCAACGACTCAAGAAAGTGCGAACAGCCTCGGAGACCAATGATAATGCGAGTAAAAAACTAAAGAGGCGTCGTCAGTAAATGACGATAAAAGAAGAAAACTATTTTTCTCTTACTGAAAAAGAGTAGGCTCTCCGTGGCTCTATCCACGTGCCGGAGCTGTTTCTTTTTTCGTTCTTTTTTCGTTATGTTCTGTTCTTATTCTACAGTGGATGACCTCCGTCGTTCTTATTTTTCCTTTCTATTTGCGTGTGGTAGGGTAAGATGAAGAGGACTTTGTTGGGGCCCTCTCTTGTTTCAACGAGGGGTGCCCTGCAATGCTCGAAGCGCTTCAATCTTCTGGAGCATAAGACCAAAGGCTCTATGTTTATGAAGCACTTAGATTTGTATGCTCGACGAGATCCACAGCTGGCTCCCTACTTACTTAGAGAAGTAGACATAGAGTACAAAAGAAAATGCCGTAAGGTGTCTTTTTGCTGCTGGATGTGTATTTTCACAATTGTGACTGCAGTTCAAATGCGTATGCAGAGTGAACAGCTGCATTATTTACGTCTATACGCAGATTGTGTGAGGGCTGAACAAGAAGCAAAGGATGGAGACGAAATTCGGCGTAGAAAAGCATTTGTAGGAGTAATGAACATTGTACGGGATGCATTTGATCGAGATCAGTCGTGGAACCGGAACGACCAGGAGAAGGCGTTGAATGCATTGTGATAAAGATGCTTCTGTCGGGGCCTAGAAGACGTTGTGGAAGTGGTGTTGGCTGTAAAGGGTGAGTCGACACAGGTGGAACGCTGTGGACGCTTTATAATTTCTTCTTAGTGCCTTGATGGGTGACTTGATCGATAAACTGTGATCACAGACTACTTTGCTTTGTCTTGTCCGCATTGCCTTTGGCCATATACTGAACGAATCTCTTTGTGTTGAAAGTTGCTGCTGATATTTTTTATTTTCTGCAATACCCTTCTTATTTTGTCCCCCGCCTCTAAAAACAACAACGAAAAAGGACGAATTGTGTGTAGGAGGATGCTGAGTTTTATTGGTGCCATTGGTACCCTTCTGTCCACATTTATGTCGGCAGACACGTTGTCGCATACGTTTGGTGTTCATGATGCAAAGGCCGGAAAGTTGATGCTGATGATGTGGATATTAGCGTGTTGTCTCTCCCCGTGGATGAGCAGCTTTGAAATCCTGGGCTGGTTACACTGTGCAGCTTTTGTCGCTTCGGCCCTTAAATTTGGCGAGGCCGGCTTGGCCTACGACTTTGTAAGGATTCCATTATCAACGTTCGTCCCGGTCTTTGGGATTTTGGAAATCCTGTTTAATTACGCGTGGTCCACCGCTTAAGGAGGAAACGATACAGCAGAGAAATGTTTTTTTTTTTTTGTATGCTGACATGTGACTCCCACGATTGCCTCTGCTACAACTGAAGAGAGTGCTGATGATTCATGTTCTATTTCTGTTTCTTTTTTTTTCTGTTTTGTTTAATGTGGTGGTGCCCCCCGAACAAAAAAAAACACGATACAAGAAGGACCAGGAGCTACGAAATGGATTACGCCGCTGCTATTAGACAGCAGGCAGAAGACCTACAAGAGGAATTAAAGGAATTAGATCTTTGGCAAGAGGAGGTCCTGCGGAAACAGGAAGCGAATAAGAAGAGAAAGGCCCAGCCGACAAACGCTGATGCTATTCCACCTATCAGAGGAACGGTTCCATCACTGAAAGAGGCTGTTCAAAAGATTGCCCCAAAGAGCAATGATGAGGATCCCGTGAAAAAGACTAAAGATCATGGCAATGAACTCTTTCAACAGGGAAAGATAAAAGAAGCCGTAGAGGCATATAGCGCGGGGATTGACCTCGATGCTGAAGGACCATTGGCACATGTGCTGTACGGCAATCGGGCGCTGTGCTATTTAAAGCTGGATAAGTGGGTAGATGCAGAGCGAGACGCTTCTTCGTGCGTGCGCCTGAACCGTAGCTACTCGAAGGGATACTACCGTCGAGCCGTCGCGCGAAGACAGCTTGGGAATCTGAAAGGTGCGCGTACGGACCTAGAGGCGGTTCTTGCGCTCGTGCCGAACGATGCTAATGCCACAAGCGAGATGAAGACAATAACTCAGATGATGCAACAGGAACGAGAGAGCACTGGTGCTGCTGTGAAGAAAAAGAAGATTGTTATTGCAGAAGTTGATGAGGATGAGGACGACGATGATGCGGGGGAGAGTGCTGCTCTAAAGGATAATGTGAAGGATGAGGCACACGAGGCGGAGAGGAGTGAACAGTTGCGCAAGGCGATGGAGGAACTGGAAAAAGCCCGCGAGGTCCAACGTGATCTTCAACACTCCAAGGCGAAGGAGCAGGAGGCGATGCTCAGTCAAAAAAGGAGGACTTGCGGACGTGTGGAAGTCATTGAGGAGGAGCCCGTACCGGTACAAAGCACGGAAGACTCCAAATCGGCGGCGAAAGTACGAGAGGTCGCATCAAAGCTACCTGAAGAGGGACAGAAAACACCCTCCATTGTACCACGCAGCTTAAAGACCTCTTCGAAGTGGACAAAGGAGAATTTAAAGGCACCAAAGTCGTTTACAGAGTTTGAACGTGTTTTCTCCGACATTAAAGACGACGAAGAGCTCTGCTGCTCCTTCGTCTCAATGATCCAACCGGCTACTCTGCGTACCTTGTTTGGAAACAACATGACACCAGAAATTCTTGTCGGACTACTGCGTGCTGTGAAGCGCCTCCATGGAGCGGTTGCTATAGATTTTCTCAAAGCACTCTGTGCAGTTAAACGTGTCGAAGATATTTCCCTTTTCTTTGACGCCTCTGAGAAGAAGTTGGTTGAGGAGGTGCTGAGTGTGGTTGTCTCTTTTGGGGCTTCCCCAGAGGATGTAAAGATATTTAAGCAGCGACTGAAAACTGTGTGAGAGAGATACTTTTGTGTTTGTGTGTCTCTTTTTCTCTCTCTGTGTGTGTGTGTGTGAAAGCAAGCTGGTAATTTGCGTGCTTTGTTTTTGTGCTATTACGCTGATGTCATCATGTTTTTTGTTATTGATAAATGGGCTTGATGTACTTTGCTTCCTTTGTTAAGCAACTCTAAGCGAGGATGGTAAAGGAGACTAAGTTCTACGATGCTCTGGGCGTCTCGCCAGATGCCTCTGTGGAAGACATCAAGCGAGCGTACCGGAGACTCGCTCTCAAATACCACCCTGACAAGAACAAGGACCCTGGCTCACAGGAAAAATTTAAGGAAGTTTCCGTGGCCTATGAGTGTCTTTCTGACCCCGAAAAGCGCAGCCGGTACGATCAGTTTGGTGAGAAGGGTGTCGACATGGAGGGCGGCGGTTTTGATCCTACGGACATCTTTGCAAGCTTCTTTGGTGGAAGTCGCGCTCGTGGGGAGCCGAAGCCGAAGGACATTGTTCATGAGCTGAGTGTGCCACTGGAATCTTTCTACACCGGAAAGACGGTGAAGTTGGCCATCACACGCGATCGCTTGTGCTCCACTTGCGGAGGCTCCGGCTCCAAAGTGCCAAATGTCAGCGCCACGTGCAAGGATTGCAGCGGACGTGGTGTGAAGCTTATTACGCGTCCGATTGGCCCTGGTTTCATTCAGCAGATGCAGGTTGCGTGCCCCAAGTGCCAGGGTAAGGGTACATATATAAAGGAGGAGGATAAGTGCGGTGTTTGCAAGGGACAGCAGATTTCGAAGGACAAAAAGCTTTTTGAGATCGCTATCGAGAAGGGAATGCATCGCGGTGATAACGTGACGTTCAGGGGCGAGGGCGACCAGATTCCAGGTGTCAGGCTTTCGGGTGATATTATTATTATTTTTGACGAGAAGCCTCACTCTGTGTTCACACGAAAAGGTGATCATCTCCTCATGGAACACACCATATCGCTGGCCGAGGCGCTCACTGGATTCACGTTGAACATCAAGCACCTTGACGGCCGTGAAGTCTCCATCACCTCCACTGGTGTTGTCGATCCTTCCAAGCTGTGGTGTGTGAACAGGGAGGGTATGCCAGTTCCAAACACTGGAGGAGTTGAGCGGGGTGACCTTGTCGTGAAGTTCCATGTGGTATATCCAACTTCAGGGGTCCTGAACCCTGACGGCATCACGAAACTGCGAAATGTCCTGGGATATCCTGCGCAGCCGAAGCCTTCCGACGAAGCTGTATTGTGCCATTTGACGGAAACAGCCATCGATCTTGACAAGGAGTCCAAGCGCCGTCGGCAGACAAGTGGGGACTACGACGATGATGCACCTCAGGGGCATGGAGGTGCAACTTGCACCCAACAGTAGTTCTTGTGGGACTGAAGGAGAAAACTGCTGTGAAAAGTGTCTGGAAAAAAATGTTTTTCTTTGCCAGAGCTGTAAGAATCAAGCTATAATTGGGTATTCGCTTTCTCCACTCATACGCACTTCGTGGAGAGGGGCGGGCACTCGCCTATTTATCTTATTATTATTATTATTTTGACCTACTTGTACGATTGTTTTTTTGCTCTTGAGTGCTAAGTGCATTTGTCTTTGTAAGCGCGTGGTTATGTGCAATAAATTTGTGAAAATACTCTCTCCCAAATGTGGGGTGTGAAGGTTGGGGTTGGTAGTCAAGGTAATTACATGCCCGGGGCTAATGTGATGAGTTTTAAGCCCATCGGAGGGCCCACGCTCGGTGTCTCGCGCAGGTTGCCTCTTAGGGATGGCTACAGCATTCCACAGTGCGGGTTTGGGACGTACCGCATGACCCCGGCGGAGGCGGAAGCTGCTGTTGAGTATGCTGTAAGCTGTGGTTTTCGTCATATTGACTGTGCCAAGGCTTATTGCAATCAGACAAGCGTGGGTGAGGCGATTCGCCGACTCTTGAAGTCAGGAAGAGTAAAACGTGAGGACTTGTTTCTGACATCAAAGCTATGGCCGACAGATCAGCACCCCGATCATGTGGAAAAGGCCTGTAGAGAAACATTAGCTGAGCTTCGACTCGACTACCTTGATCTCTACCTTATTCACTGGCCAGTGGCGTGGCGCCACTCACCTGAGTTCAAGACGGACGACGACAAATACCCAAAGGATGCTGATGGTCTTCCTGCGGTTGACAACACCGTGAAACTCATTGATACATGGAGGGAGGTGTGTGGACTTGTTGACAAGGGTTTGGTGCGTTCGGTTGGCCTCTCCAACTGTGCAGAGAAACACATCAATGAAGTTATGAGTGACGGAAAACTTTATGCTCCAGTTCTAAATCAGATTGAGCTTCACCCAGCGTTGGTTCAGCAGGATCTTATTAGTGTGCACGGTGCAAATCATATACTGACAGCTGCATACAGCCCTCTAGGGATGCCTTCGAGATTCACACCGCCAGATTACAAGGGTTTGCTGTCAGATGAAACCATGCAACCACTCTCTGAGCATTCTGGTTTCAGCGTGGCCCGACTGCTGCTTAACTGGAACCTTGATATGCACAACGTTGTAATTGTTCGCTCAACCAACAAGGATCATATCAAATCAAACGCCAAAGCTTCTCTTTACGCCCTCTCTGACCCTGTGAAAATGATCCTTGATCGCTATCAAGAGCATATGGGAACGATTCGGACGATTAATCCCACGAACTTCACGCGTAGCGGCAAGAGTTTCTTTGAATGAGACATGAAAAATGCCTATATAAAAGTTCCGAGCCTCATTTGACGGTTTGAGGTTGTGGTGTTGGTGATGTAGTGAGTTAAGTTGAGCTGAGCTGGGCTCCACTGAGGTCGTAACCTTCTTGTTCACATTTCCTTCTTTCCAGACGATAAACTTGCCGCCATGGCCTCTAAGAAGGGAGGTAAAAAACCGGATGGCGCAGATGCAGAGGCGGCCATCCTTCAGTGGTTCGAGTGTGAGGGAGAGCCGGCAACCGTGCAGTCGCTGACTGATGCACTTGGCAGTAAATATGGGAAGACGCTGGTCCAGGCAGTGCTGGAGCAGTGCGTGAGCGAGCAGAAGCTTCAAGTCAAGGATATCAAAAAGGCCAGGATCTACTTTCCCGCTCCTTCCGAGGCTTCTGAGAATGGGATGAGTCACTCCACCGTGGATTCAGAAAAAACTGAACTTGTTCAACGACTTCAGCAAAAGACAAAAAAAGTTTCTGCCCTCTCTGCTGAATTGGCTGCACTTCTTCAGAAACCCTCTGCGACGGAGAGAGCCGCCAGCATCGCCGCGTTGTCTGCGGAGTGTGCGGCGACGAAGCAACGCCTGGATGATGTGAGAGAGGCAGCGGGCCAAGATCGTGATCGTGTGAGCGACGAAGACATTTGCATCCTTATTCAACGGTACAACAGAGCCAGAGAAATTTGGAGAGAGCGCAAGCGCATGACAGAGCGTGTGATCGATGCCACTTTGGGAGAGAGCTGCGATCCAAAGGACCTCGCGGAATTCTTTGGTGTCACCACCGACCAACAGGCGAATGTCTCGATGGCCGAGACAGCCATCGCACTACCTTTGACGATGAAAGCCACACATGTGTAAATTCCCCCGAGAGAGGCGGAACAAAAAGGACTGGCTGCATTCTTTTTTTTTTATTTTTACAGAATTGCTGTGGATCCAGACCCAGCTCCAGAGTTTTGATGAGTTTTACTTTATGTACTGCTGCACCTGCGGCTGGTGGTGGGGGTGTTCTGCTCTTCGGGTGAAACCAGAGCTATTTCTTTTACCTACTCACTCACTCACGTTGCCACTCTTCAGATCGGTATAGCAGGAGCGTAGGAATGAATGACGGAAGCAGCGAGCATGCCGATTTAGGCGACACATTCGCGATTCTTAAAGAGTCTGCGCGAGGGCAGTGGGACGTTGACGCCGACGAGCTGCTGCTGAAGGCATTGATGACGATGCAGGCAAAGTTCTCAATTCATTTTAGTTCTGTACGTGACGAAGTGGAGAGTCTTTGCGTGGATTCTCACACAGCCTCTATTCAGCTTCAGAATGCCATGAATTCCTTTGTCCTGCTCTCACAGAAGCAGTTTGTGCAAAACCGCGTCTCCGTGGAGGATACGGACGACGAGACGGCGTCTGAGCATACAGAAGCCGGGGAGGAAGATTTGTCATCCATGGATGGGAAAATGACGGAAGATACCGAGGCGAGGGTGACTCGTGTGTGCCAAGAGGCCATCGATCTTGGTGTCCGCATTCTTGAGGAGCGGACGATGCCCCTGTTCCTCGAGGATGCGGAGCCCAATGGCGAGCGTAACGCGCAAGACGACGACACCGACAATAACGGAGGAGAGGGAGAGGAAGAAGAGGCGTTCTCGCGGTCTTCGGCTAATCACTACCGGCACAGGCGTTTCGTTGCGCTTATAGGCTCAGAAAGGTTTCTGAACGACCCGTACGCCGGCTACTTTGAGGGTCGCAACGGAGGGCCGTCTCAGTTGTCGTCGTCGTCGTCCTCCTTGTCGGACCACTCCTCCGACAGCGTGGCGGCTCCAGTGGCGATGGCCACGCGGCGGGGACCAACGACTAGTGCAAGTACTACTGGAATGGGAGGTGCCACACCACCCCCACCACCTCATCAAACGCCTTTGTCGGGCAATCCACCACCACCGCCGCCACCGCCGCCACCGCCGCCACCAAACTGGCTTGCATCCCTACCTGGCAAACAACCACCTCTACCAGTAACAACAGCAGCTGCGAAGAACATCGCGCTACCGCCACCACCACCCAGTAGCCTGCCGGTTGTAACGAGGGAGGACGCTTCGCCACATCCCACCAAAACGGGTGTTGCTGCATTCCTTGATTCGTCTGACCGCTCGGATGACGCAGTGACTAAGCCGGTGGTGGGTTCGCGGCCAAATCCCGGTGCGAGTAGGGCCGGTGCATTCGCTAAGGGGATCGAATCATCCGATTCGACCTCTGATAACACATCAAAAGCGCCAGGGAGGAAGATTCCACCCAAGACTGTTCCACAACGGAAAGCGGTTACGTTCGCGGATGACTCAAGCTCTGACAGTGACAGCAGCAAAGGCCAACCTGCTCTTCCTGTCAAGAGGGCTGCGAAGGTGCCAACCAAGACGTTGGCCACAAATGATTCATCATCATCATCATCATCAGCGTCGGAAAGGGTGCCGAGAGCTGCGCCACCGCCGCGTCCACCGGCAAAGGTCGCTCCCGTGAAAATCGCACCAAAGGTGGTACCGCCAGTGGCAGCCCCGCGAAAGAAGGTTCCCGTCTTCTCAAGCTCTGATAGTATCTCGAGTGATGATGAGACACCTGCACCAAGGCGTGCAGTTCCACCTGCACCGTCTGTCAAAAAGTACTCTTCACTGTCTAAAGGAGCCGCACTGAAGAGAGTGGTGGGGCCCCATACTACTTCCGCTGACACTGGGAGCAGCAGCAACACGGTGCCGCCCGTTTTGGCCGACCAATCTGCAGCTGTGGTTCCTCCTTCTTTTCCCCCATCTGCGGATGCGGATGCACCCGTCGCACCTACTTCTTCTTCACCTGCTGTTGCAGTCGCAGCGAGAAAGGAATCCAAAGCCCCTGCCTTGGTAACAGACCGCTTGAAGGCTGCTATTACGCTGCCAAAGCGCGGGGCCAAGGCAATATCGACATCATCCTCTGACATGGAAGGGCCTGAAGGCGACAGACCACCCGCCTCACTACCTCGAAGTGGCCCTACCAAAACGATATCTCCACCTCCACCTCCACCCTCCAATAAGGCGACGGTAAAAGCCGTGTCTCAGCTCTACAGCAGTGACACTGAGAGTGAGGTGAATGATATTGTGGCTTCGCGTGCGCCTCGCATGCCTGTGCCCAAGTTGCCACTCAGCAAACGCCGCGTGGACAGCAGCGACTCGGACGTGTGACGTCAAACACCAGGAGAGGAATCGAAAGTGGAGTCCAAAATGAATGGAAGCCCTCACGCTTCTAGAAAGTGTATCCCTGAGGTGAAGGCGTGCTTTTTTTTTCTTTGCCCGTGTACTTGGACCTGACAGAAGAAAAGCTCAAGAAAAAGCGACATATATATATATATATATATATCTGGGCAATCAAATAAGATCACCTATATGCCTTGGAACCTTGAGGGACGCGTGGGCGTTGTGACAGGGGCTTCATCGGCAATCGGTAGACAGTTGGCTGCGCGCTTGGTGAGCGAGCATCGCATGCGAGTGGCGTGCGTTTCTAGAAAGGACGTGAATGGCTTAGTTCCCGCAGAATGCAACTGCCTTAGGGCAGATCTCTCGGTGTCTTCGGACTGCGATGCCGTGATGAAACGTGTGAAGGAGACAGTGGGGCCTGTGGCTCTTCTTGTCAACTGCGCCGGCGTAACTCTTAACAAGGTGCACGTGCGCTGTACCGACGACGACTACGATGCGCTGATGAACGTCAATGTTCGTGCTGCACTGCAACTAACACGATCCACGCTTCGCCATGGGGGAATGCTCAAGGAGGGCGATGGCTGCATTATCCACGTCGGCTCTGTCGTGGGCAGTATGGGTAACGAAGGGCAGGTCCTTTATGCAGCGTCTAAAGCTGCTTTGAGTGGGGCTGTGAAGTCATGGGCACGGGAGTATGGTGCAAAGAACCTCCGCTTCAACGTCATTGCCCCAGGCCTGATCGAGGGGGAGGGAATGGGCGCTACGCTGATGGAAGATCAGCGGGAGTGGTGGCGCAGGCGTTGCCCGATGGGCCGCTTGGCCACTACAGAGGACATCGTGGATGCCATCATTGGCGTGGGTTTGTGCCGCTACATCAACGGCCAGACCGTCCTTGTGGATGGAGGGCTGTCTTGATCACAACACCGCTTCTTTGCTGCGGGGGAAAACACAAACATTCGAGAAGAACAAGAGACCACCATAAAAGATCTTTGAGAAACTGACGCGACATTGCAAAATACATTCCATCTCTTTCCCATTCCCTATTGTTCCTTCTTTTATTATCTTACCCCTTCCTCTTGATGATGTTTTGCGCTAGCAGCAAGGATGCAGTCCCAGGCGTCTCCCACAGCGGGCGTTGACAAGGCCCAGCGGTCTGGTGATCCTGGACTTCCGCCTGTTGTGATGGAGAAGCAGATCAAAGTGTCGAATTACAGCCGCTCCACCGCTGCTGCACTGGCAGGACAGTTGGATAACTGTGTCCGCCTGCTGCAGGGGCACTGCGCGACGCTGCTTTATTGCAATGAGGAAATCGAGGGTGCGTTGCTGACGCTTGGTGTGCAAACGACACATAAGTTGATGTCTTCCATTACTGGTGTCATTGAAGGTCTCGAGCTTGTGGCGGGGACGTGCAAGAGTATGTGTGAGAGTCACTATGAGGAGATCCGACAGCGTGAGGACCTCTTCACCTCGCTATCCAACATGTTTGTTGCTTTAAAGGAGCGACAGGAGGCCACAGAGCGGGAGCTGCGCACTGTTGTCGCGGAGCGTGACCGCCAGAATGCCACGTTTGACAAGGCAGTTGCGTATGTGGAGGCTGTGGTGGCAGAGCGTGCAGTGTGGCAAGAGCAGAACGGCTACAACTGTGCCGGGCTTCCGCTGGTGGAGCGATCCTTCACGGAACACTGTCACGAGGCTCTTGAGGTGTTCGACGCCATTCAGCAGGAGACACAAAGCCGAGGGTTAGGGAGCGGTGAACGCCTGCTGTCGCGCACCGACACGCCGGGTACGCTTGTAGGGCGGTGGGAGACGATTGAGAACATGCGGCACACACTCATCGCCCCGTCGGCGCGGTTGCAGTACGTGCCGCCCAAGGATGATGTGGCACTGCTGCGCGAAGTGCTGGAGATAGGCACGGCAAGCCGCGCCCTGCTGCGGGATGTGCGCGAGGAGCGTAGGGGCCTCGAGGAGGCCAAGAAGAAAGTGCGTGAGATCGGCGTCACGAGCCTCGCCGCATTGCAGACTGCACGTGCGGAGCTGGGCTCGTTCAAGGACTGGCTTCTCGACCTCGAACGGCGCGGCTACCCATTCAACACCTCCATCGAGTCGTTTCGGGGCATTGTAGCGGAGATTGAAAAGAGGATGGTTAAGCATGATTCGATGGATGAGGGCGTCCAGGTAGACTCCGATTGATGTAAACTACCACAATTCCCGTTCTTTCTGTTTTGCTTTTGGTTGCTGCGGTGACTTTTGTAGTTGGTGCCACGACGGTGATAATGCCGTAACG